ACTCTTAAAAAGTAAATAAATTTAGAAAGTTACATGCCAAGGTTCGCATATATCTGTCCCGATTGCCTAGTGTGATGGTTTCCCCGTTCCTCGTACCTCTCTGATCATCTCTTCCAACGATTCATCTCTGCTCCGTAAACGTAAACGTCAGGCTATTCACGATCCCACCATGGCGGAAGAAAACGTCGGACTTCTTGGTGAGGAGGGTTTACGTGCTGGTGGGGGTCTTCGACTCGGGTGGGTTGCAGGAAAGTTTTTTGTCGTAAATAGAAATATTCGTTTTTTGTTTTGTCTGCATGCAAATTTTGTAAAAGTAAATTGCCGTTTGGTCACTCATCATCTATTTATCTTCACTGGTTTATCGCATTCACCCGCTTCTTGCTTATGTCTATGTTCATGCCCGAGATTTAGCATTACTCAATCGCTAACCTTTTTGTGTGTTTCGCATGTAATTCATGTTTGCTTTACCAAAATCAATTCGAACCACCATACAAACATATTGGTTTATTCAGAGTTATTCTTCGCGATTGCCCGACCTACAGGATCCTGACGGTATTGAAGTGGCGTTTGAAGATGGAAAGCGTGGTGATTTTGCCCGGGACCTTACTAAATTGCACCTAGAGTGAGTTTTTGAAGACTCAATCGGCAATGGCTAAGGGCTGAAAAATCGGTGTCATGGCATTAGCTAATTAGTTCCTAGCTAGATCTGCCGAATGATACCAAGCCCAGCATCTCTCTATTATGCTGCTCTAGTTCAAGCTGCTATTTATCCCCAACGCCGCTTTTCTGCACCTGATTGCTTGCATGTGCACTATTTGATTTTAAAAAGCTGTCTACGCTTTCTCATGTTGCTATTATTTCTTCAGTTTCGTAGCTGGTGTTGTACTCCGTGAACGTCTTCCTGCCTTTGAACGAATGCTTTGGCGAGCTTGTCGAGGAAATGTGTTTTTAAAGCAGGCTGAGATTGAAGTGCCTCTAGAGGACCCAGTCACGGTATGCTTAATAGATTCGCTTCATCATTTAATGCGAACTTTGGCTGACTGTGTTTTTTTTAGGGCGATAAGGTTAACAAGTCAGTGTTCATAATTTTCTTCCAAGGAGACCAACTCCGTACGCGTGTCAAGAAAATATGCGAAGGGTAAGTGTGTCTTTATAGGTTCTGATTTACTTATAGCTGAAACTTCACTGAGCTCATTTTGCCTTGTAGCTTTCATGCCGTTATTTA